TGCGGAGAATGGCTGAACCGACGCAGCACACATTTAAATTTAAGTATGTAGTGGCGATGGAAAATGTGTAGTGTTGGTAAATGTGTTACTTTGTTAAATTTGTTACCACCATAAATGTGTTCCGTGAAAGTAAAGCAATTTCATAATTAGATAGACATCGTGAGGTATTTATTTTCGGTACAGGTTATGTTGAAACCATTAGAGAGAGTGGCACACTTGTTAACCTGTTCCATTCTTCTTCGTTTTCCGAAGCTGTGACTTGGAAGCATACTTGCTTCGTTTCTAAAGGAAGTGACTTGGAAGTACGCGACTACCAAGCCAGCATCCTCACGATTGAGAAACGGCCCTAGCCTCGGAAAACGAAGAATGGTGGAACAGGCGAACAGGCTAACAGGTGTGCGTCATATGCGAGGCCCCGCCTTAAATGGAGCGCGATTTCCGCCAAAGATTTTGGAAATTGGTCCGTGCGCAAAGCATTGTGGGGATTTTGATACCTCGGAGGATACACATGTGCAGCCTCGAAATGTCTCGCTACGAAGGACGCCGGGCTCGGTAGAATTCCAAGGAGCCTGGACATTGGAACAGTCCTTCGGCGGGACTCGATGACGTAGCATCCTTGAAATAGTGGCTCTGGAGCATCCTTCCTTGAGACATTGAGAAACACCCAGAGAGTGTCCAAACCTTTAAGAGTGCGTTGAAGACCTACATTTTTAACAAAGCCTTCAGTTAGAGCTGGCATTTTATGGTATTCATTTTATTGTTATGGTAATTCTATTGTCTTTTGTTGTATCTTATTTTATTTAGTTTGATTTCTACTTGTATTCCACACACTATCTTGTCTTCTCATGTCGCTGTAACTCCACCATACGAATACAATGTTGTTGTTTGTTTTTAATCTGTGAAGCCAACTGAGACAAACGTGTTTTGTGATATTGGGCTATACTAATAAAGTTTGATTTGATGAAGTTTGATTTATATGTTGTTACTGTAAATGTGTTTTTTCCACATGTATATTTTCTACTTTTTTAATGCTATTTTATTTCTATTTGAGATGTTTACATTTTGGACTGTTTATTTCTTTTAATGTACAATGCCTTGTGTTTTGATGCTGCTGCAACGCAAACATTTCCCAAATTGGGTACTTCTTATTTTTATTTTTATTTTTTTTGTATATTTCTATTTCTTGTAAACTTTTCCACTTATTTTTTAAACAGTTTTTAAATAGTTGGGTACCACTTTGCAATAAGACTACCCTGATAAAGGGTTTACGAATAGGTTATGAACACTTTATAAATCATGAATAAGCTTTTACAAGACATGAGATAAACAGGGCGACTGTGACCGGTTGCTTGCCAAATAGTGAGCCCACATTTATCTGTACTGCTAAGCCTTATACTGGCTACCTAGCTTACTTCGTCTCCTTCGTCAGCCAGCATCCTTGGTATCTGTTGCTCACCGAGTTGATTCTCGCTAAGTAGCCAATATAAGGCTTAGTCATCAAATAGTGAGCCTGTGTTGACTGATGTTAGAACTGGTTTATAAATGGTTCTTAATGATTAACCTATTTAATAACCTAATTATAAACCCTTTATGAATCCTTTATAAGGGTAGTCTTATCGTAAAGTAGTACCAATAGTTGTTATATATACTTATTCCTTGTTACATCTTACCATCATGAAGGAGTATCCGATCCACAGAGCCTCCCAGTTTGAGGGGCAGGCGGGGATCTGGATGGTTTGACTGTGCACTGCGATCACCATGGCTGGAGCTTCACAAACCGAACACCTGCACACAGAAACACGTCACATTAAACACCTCGTGTTTCCCCTCGAGCCAACTGGTTATTCTATCAGAGCATGTATCAAAAGCAGGTAAACAAATCTTCACTCTATAGAGAAATAGGTAGAGTAACAATGTAAATACTGCTTAACACCAGGGCAAAGAAAATCCACACAGACAAACAAAAAATAAACAATTAACTATGTATGTCTTAATGTGTGCATATGTATACATGTGTCTGTTGATTGTGTATATATAGGATATACATATTTGTTTTATTCAGGATTGTATTTTAACGGTATTTCGATCTCTCTGTCTGTACACACAAACTGAAAGATTAACAATAAAGTTGACTTTGACTCTGTCCTCATTCTCGTCTCCTTCCCTACCTGCTGATGAAAGGCTTGATCCCCTCCCCGGTGATGGGGGCCATGGAGCTGGGCATGGGTTCGGGTGTGGACAGCCAATAGGAGTAGTCGTTGCGGGAGGCGAAGTTACAAACGTTGTTGATGTTGCAGAACATGAAGGGCATGGTGCTGAAGCGACGCAGACAACTGCCGGCCGAACCTGCGGGGGAGAAGAAGGAGAAGGAGAAGAAAAGAGTCCAATTTAATGTTGAAGAATCAGGTTTTTCCTGCATCCAGGGCGGAGTCAAACCATCTTCAGCACATGCACTTATTGAAAGCTAATGTACTTGCAGGATTTTTTGTTTTTTGTTATTGTGCTCATGTGTCTTTATGTGCTCTTTGTATGTTTTGTTAAAATGCCATCAACCTGCCAGGGACTGCAGATGCAAATTGGTCTCTAAGGTTACATCTGTCAACATGATGGACTCAAGAGCTCATGTTAGGGAATGACAATGTGACACTGTACTTGTATGCACTTGTCTTGTAACTCCTATATCACTAAATAAATAACTAACTAAATAAATAAATAAATTTTAAAAAGCAGAAATCCTACATATGTAATCTGTATTTTGTAATTGCTGTTGTCTAATTTTTCTTTTTCTAATGTACTTCTAGTAATTGTATTTTACATGTTGTGTATTAATCAATAAAAATGTGATCACAACATTTAAAAAAGCAGAAAGTGTCCGTACCGAGGTCCTGTCCGTGCGCGCGCTCGTTGCCCTGCACGTAGAGCAGAGAGTATCCGTCGTAGATGGGGCTGGTTCCATCGGGGCAGTACGGCACTTCCTGTCCCTGACTGTGACGAGTGATCAGGAAGCCGTGGGCAGCAGACCCTGATCCTGGAGGACCGGGGAGACCCTGAGGACCGTCAGAACCAGTGGGGCCGGGGATACCACGCGTGCCTGGGATCAGGGGAAAATACATGGTTTAGAAAAGTGGGAGCTGTGGTTCAAGATCTTAATTTATAACCACCACGGCCCCTGGTAGACCACACACACACACACACACACACACACACACACACACACACACACACACACACACACACACACACACACACACACACACACACACACACACACACACACACACACACACACCAACACAGACTATAACGGGGGTCACCTTGGTTGGTGGTTGGTGATTGGCTAATGGTTACACAAGCCAAAAAATCGTTATGACATCATAAAGTGGCCAAAATCTGATCAGCTCATTTTCAGACAGGTTTTTATAGAAATGGATCAGGACAAAAAGAGAGAGAATCTTTGTTCCTGAAACTTGCAGAGTCTCTTTCCACAGAGGGGACACATGTTGATGTAGAAGAGACATAAAAAGTGGATTTTGCATAATAGGTGACCTTTAAATTAGTTAAACTTCACTCACCGGGGCTGCCGGCGGGGCCCGTGTCTCCCTTCCTGCCGTTGGGTCCGCTGAAGCCAGGAGGCCCATCAGGACCAGAATCTCCGGGGCCACCAGGCTGACCTGAGAACAGCCAGAGAGAGGAGATGAACAAAACAAATCTGAACTACTTCTTGAGAGGTTTTTTGCGGCACTTGACCAATTTCTGTATTTGTTCTTCTTTATTTATCTATGCGTGAGTGGATAGGGTGTTCACGTTTTCTATTGTTCTGTTTTCTTTTATTTAGAAGTACTTTATTTTCTAGTACATGTTCAAAAAGTATATTGTTTTCCTTAAATGTTTATGAATGTATGTATAGATATCGTAGTTGTACGAAGCTTTGGCAATACTGTATGTCATTATGGTAATGCCAATAAAGCTATTTGACTTGAATTGAACCGAGTGTTGTCATTGGATTTAAAATATATTAAAAAATAATAATAATAAACAAGTGATTGACCACAGTCTTAGAAACTCAAAGCCATTAAAAATACAGAAGAAAAAAACCTGAAATAGTAAAAAGTTCAATAAAATTTAAAAAATGTAATACTTTTTTTTATCATTCCTCATGTCTCATTTTGTTTATCAAGAGTCCATATTTAATATTTTGTAAGTAATTGCTGTTTTCTAATGTACTTTTAGTACTGTTGTGCTTTTAGTTTTACCTCAAATAAAGAGTCCATATTCACTCACCTGTAAGTCCCTCACGCCCAGGAGAACCAGGTACTCCTCGACCTCCAGGCAGGCCTGAGGATCCGGGGAGTCCGCGCTCTCCCTTCACCACGATGGGAGTGGGAGAAACACCGGGGTCACCAGGAGGGCCTGAGAATCCAATGTTATAAAAAATAAATCAGTTTGAAATAATTTTGCAATCCCAACTTGAGATCCCACATATTTTGGGACACTTAATCGGCATATCTAAATATTTTGTGTTAGATTTAACGACATTTCAGTTCCAGTTAAGACTGTAACTGTCATCACCCACCGGGGCCTCCGGAATCTCCAGGATCTCCGTTAAGGCCGCTGCCGCCAGGAAGTCCAGAATCTCCCTTTGGTCCTGGAAGAAACACGAGGATATTAATGTTGGGGCTTTGCTTTTGGTTATTCAACAAGACATACATAAAAATGGTACTGTTCAAATATCAGAGTCCACATGATAACAAAGGTATCCCAACTGTAGCTGTGTACATGACAGGATGTGTGATTACCTAGAAGAGCATCAGGACTGTTTGAGGCATATGATAGCTATGTGATTAACATGATGATTCAGCCTCTATGGAGATAGACTTATGAGAAGCATGCTCATTTCTGACGTGGAGCTAATTTGAAGTAAACATTGAATACTGCTTTCTATTCCTCCATCTTGTGACTTGTGTGTAACTCCCTCTCTTGGATATCAGCATGTGAAGGACACTGTTCAGGAACTAGTTGATGCTCTGTATGTGATGACTACTTCCATTCTGGAGAGGATCACAGATACATGGATCCTGAGATTCAAGCTCAAGCCGGCGACGAGGGATATTTTTTCTAACAGTTAGTCAAAAGAAAAGTGGACTAACCAGGGAAACCAGGAACGCCGGGAAGACCGATATCTCCCTTGAAACCAGAGCCGCCGTTAAGACCAGATGGACCCTGGGAAATAAAAAATAAAAACAGTTACATCTCCATCCCTTTTCTCATCCCAACTACAAGCGAACAGGATTAGAAAAATGATCTTACTGGGAATCCGGGACCACCACTCTCTCCCTTCTGTCCTCCAAAGCCTGGCTGACCGAGAGCGCCGGGAATACCCTTATCTCCCTTAATGCCGCCACTTCCTGGGGGACCACGAGGACCCTGGGGCCCACCTTGACCTTCATAGGCGAACGGAAGAAAGGAAAAAGTCAGAAACAATTTTACAGACAAGTTTCCTCTCATTCTATTCTCACCAGGATCAGACCAGTTTCCATTTATTGAGTTAAAAGTGGGATTTCGGTTATTTTATCAAAAATATTCAGATGTTTTGTTGCTAATGGTTGACAGACTTAGCTTTTCTTAATGTCGATTAATAACTGAAAACGTTGTAGTCAACCATATTCTCACTTTTTATTTTTGAACTGTTTTAATGGAAACTGAACTGAGTTCTCAAAGCCTGCACTTACTCTTCAATACTTAATAATTATACATCTAACACAAAGATAATATCATGTCAACTACAATTTAATTCAAGGAAAACTAGTTTCATAACCCAATTTTTACTGGCTAAGAAATTCGTAATAGTAGATAAAATATCATAGTAATGTTACTAGTGAGGTTAGCTTCTTCAATAATTCAAGATTATTTGTTTCCTGTAGAGCAGCTTTACCTCAGAGAAAACTTTCTCTATCAAACTTGTAAAAGAAAAGAAAAAGACAAGAAAATAAATAAAACAACACAATTCTTCCCCAAATACAAATGGCAGTAAAACGTCCAAATGAAACTCATTAGCAAAACAATTGGAGTAAATTATGATTATGAGCAGTCTTGAGTGTCCAGCCTGTCCTGTAGGGTAAAGAAATGGTAAAAAACAAGCAAAAAACACACCTTTCCACTTATTCTCACACACCAGTATATTATGACACATAAGACAGCATGTATTAAAACCACCCTGGAGTCTAACCTGGAGGACCTAGGTTTCCCAGAATTCCCAGGTAAAGCGGAGCCGGGTTGACGGCACAAAAATTGCAAAAAAAGAAGAGGGGGTTTAGACAGAAGCAAGCCTCAGTACAGAAACACAAGTCACACTAAACAGGATGCATTGCCTTTAAAAATAGAGGAGGTATTAACTAAAGTTTAATGCTAAAGATACTGACACTGTGCAGCTGTCGTTACTTTTCTTACTTAAAAATCAAAGTGCTAAGGTAAAAGTGCTCCGGTCTCAACATTTGCTCCAAGCTAACGGTTAAGTTAATGAATTATATTATTCCCCTGGAGGTCACACGGTAGAAAAATATACTAATTTGTGTTCTAAAATAAATAAACTATCCATCTATAGTGCTATCATGAAGTCAAAATGTATAATTTTGACCCAATAGCTGCAAAACCAATGAGATTCCCCATCATCCTCATCCTCTGTTTAGTGCTAATTAGCAAATGTAGCATGCTAACATGCTAAACTAGCACAGTGGACATTTCACAACTGGTAATCAGTAATTATTTTAACTGGTGATGTGTAATGCCTGTAAATATGCTGCTGTGACACACTGCCAATTTGGGATGAATAACGTAGATCTAATATTATCTAATCTAATCATCTGCATGTTAACATTGTAATTTTTAGCGTTGTCATTGTTAGCATGTAGCATTTAGCATGATAACCTTTTGCTCAAGTCACAGAGCTAGCATGGATGTATTTTAGACCAAGTGACCCTCAGAAAGAACTGAGTTTGGAGAACATTTTGGATTTAAGAGATACTGCTTGTTGCTATTACTAAAACTTTAAAGTACCAGTATATTTAAATACACATAATGCTTACAAACAACACATTTCAGTGAAATCCAACAAAACTACAACTATAGTATGTGACAGTAAAAGTAAAATCATTGATTTTCAAGGTGAGTTAGTTTAATTATGATGTGGTTTTGTGCACAAATTATAAGATATTGTATGCATAACACATTCTGCATATTAGATTTGAATTTTACAGAATGATTCATGTTAATCTTGCTAGAAAACTGTGAGTTTAAAATTACTAAAGTGGATTATCGTTTTTTATCATGATTTATTTTTTATAAAAAGGTGCTTACTTGTTAAAAGGGTGCATTAAACTACCATCAGATTGCATGGGAAGTGAAAGAAAAAGGTAATTAGAAGGAGAAACAAAGGTAAATGCAGTGATTTCCCAGCAGAAATGTGTTCCCTTTAGATCAGAGAGTGTAAAAAGTCAGACAGTGGTTCTGTAAAACGTGCAGCAGACGTTTCAACGTCGTTCATCTGACCTGTTGGACCTGCAGCGGCGGATAGTCATCACACGAGGGGGCGGGGCCACAGGAAACACAGGTGGTAAAATATACATAGCTTCATTTTGTCACCCGGACACCCAGAAAAACACTCGAGTGTTTTTTCAAAAGCCTAACACAGTGCTGGTGTGTGGACAGCGCTGACATTTACTTTCAAAGGAATCAATATTGTGAATAAAAGGACACAAGATATTAATGTTAAGGCTTATAGTGTGTTTGAGTTGCTAAAAAATGACTTCTAATCTAATTTTTTACGTTTTTTTAATTGTCTTTTTATTGAAAACCACTGCACTGGATGGTTGTATCTTCCTAAGGTGTGTGTCAGGGAGGTCCACCATTTCCAGCAGTGTGTTAGGTGTACCTTCAACTTTTATGTGTGTGTGTGTGTGTGTGTGTGTGTGTGTGTGTGTGTGTGTGTGTGTGTGAGTGATTCAGATGATATATATACAGTGTATTACTAAGTCAAATCCAAACATACCTCACCAGTAAAGTTCAATGAATGACAGTCAATCACCGGACAACAATCCTCCAAATTGGCAGTAATCAGCTCGATCCTTGGTGCATCTGGGGTGGAACAAAAAACAGGGAAAAAGGACACTATGATTCACTGGAAAGTCCTTAAAGGAAGAGGCATGTGACGTCATCAGCTCTACTGTAAGCAGACTACAAACACAGCACCCAAATGCTCTTCTCCTGATCTCTGGAGACTTCAATCAGGCCTCTCTCTCAAAAACTCTGCCCTCTTTCAAACAATATGTCACCTGCACCACCAGAGGCAATACAACACTGGACTTACTGTATGCCAACACCGAGGATGCATACAGCTCATCCCCCCTTCCTCCCCTGGGCAGATCTGATCACAGCCTGGTTCACCTCCAGCCTGTGTACCAACCTCTGGTCCACAGGTAGCCGGTGCCCACACGCACCGTGAAGAGGTGGTCTGAGGAGTCTGAGGAGGCTCTGAAAGACTGTTTCGACACTACTGCGTGGGATGTGTTCACTGACTCTCACGGGGAGGACATCAATGGCCAAGACTGCATCACAGACTATATTAACTTCTGTGAGGAAAACGTCGTACCCACCAGGACTGTACAGTGTTTTCCCAACAACAAACCCTGGATTACCCCTGACATAAAGGCTCTCCTGAAGGACAAAAAGAGGGCCTTCAGATCTGGTAACAGAGAGGCGCTGAAGACTGTACAGAGGGAGCTGAGGTGGAAAATCAGAGAGGGGAAAAACAGTTACCAGGAAGAGGATGGAGAACAGCTGCTGCGAGAGGAACGTCTAGTGGGAGTCTGGGAGAGGCTTGAAAACTCAAGTCTATGGCTAACAAGAGCCAGACTCCAGTCCCGGCGGGTACCGCCAGGGGCAAACGTACCGAATATCTTCTTTCGCAACGGATTTTACAACCAGCTTATGCCCTAGTAGACCCTCCTTACACACACCACAACAAAAGACTATAACACCCCTGCCTGCTATAATACAACCTTGTGCAATATTATGTATATGTGCAATACTATA